CAAGGCAAGTGGGAATCGGGGTATCTCTCCGGCAGTCGGGTATCACATGGTCTTCGTCTTGTGTAGAGGAGAGAGGTGAGAGGGTGACAACATGCAGAGAGACTTACAGACAGTTGGAGCTTCTGTGAGCCCCGTATCAAAGGTCCATGTCTGCCCGTGTGCGCAGTCGTGGTTGCAGAGCCTGGCAAGGCCCGATGTCGTCGGCTTACATGGGCTTTGGGCAGGCAAACACTCACCGAGGTGCCTGTTCGAGCCAGCCGAAAAGCAACCGTTTTTCATCGCTGCGGCGCGTACCCCCTCCCCCCCCCCCGGCTAGGAACTGTCGAAGCCTCCTGTACTCTCCTACGTGCTTCGTTAGTGTCGAGCACACACGATCCTACAGTATGCACAGTAAAAACAGCCAGCGTCGCGAAGGCTGCGGGCGTACCTCACAGGGCGGCATGTGAACAGACGCGTCATGTTATCTACTTCCTCAGCAGCTTCGGCGACAGTCTGAGAGGCTGTTGTCGTTGTTCTCTTCACATGAAACATCGTGCCTTCATGTGTCTGTACTGATCTACCACATAACGCGGTCAATTTCCCGTGGTCACAGGCAAACTTCCCCCTAAAAGTACACTCGAATAAAATGCACCCGAAGGGGCCCCCAAACAAAAAAAAACAGAGACATATATTCTCACTCTTATATGAGATAGGAATGGAGCTGAAAGTCAACATCACGGCGGACCGGAGAAGTAAACCCCCTGGTTCAATCTCGGTGCCGGCGGGTTGTTGTGAGTGCTGCCCACAAATGTCAGGGCCTGCTGCCCCGTATCCACGCAAGAAAGGGAGTTTCCCCACTACTCGAATGCAGACGTGGTAACACTTGTCGAGTGTGCCGTTTACTCACCCCAGTATTGAAGCCTCCGGCGTCGAGGAGCACAGGGTATCCAGATGCCACTGAGAAAGGCAGTGGGTCAGGGTAGGCAGGAGGTTTAGCACCAGAGAAACCATGAATCACGACAGGTGCGCCAAAGCACCCCAAACGTTCCCTCGCGGCGAAGTCTTGACGGACCAAGCAGTCAACCCGGAGGTAGCCAAACTGTAGCAGGTACTCCTGTAGCCCCGATTGGTTGAGCGGTCTGCGAAGAGCCGGCGCTACAAACGTGGCTCCGATCTAAGATACAAGGGTGGTGTTACAAAGGCCTCTGACCCTCCTACACCAGAGCCCTCTCTTATCCCGGTAAGGGGGTACCGAGCTGCATATAGCGGGTCGAGTCCGTGACAACAGATTTCGACCCCATCATATCGGAGCCCCATCGTACCAAGTACCTTGATGACTACAAAGAACAGCGAGTGAGCCAGCTTTATCAGCTGGTGACTACAAGGAACAGCGTGCGAAGTCACGAACCTCCGCTGTAGACCATTTGTTCGTCGATTCTGAAGGATCCCCATGGCTGTGGAGGGGTATAAGTGCTTTTGTTGGTGCCCTCGTCGGCTAGACAGATATCGTAGT